AATATGGTGTATCTTACAACTACCATTTTCGGGTATTACAATAACAGATCTGCGACTTACATAACTATATTGATCATAAACCCTTCAAAATTATAAAAGAAATTAAATTACATAACTTAGCTATTATAAAATTCTAAATAACAAATTGTTTTGGTTGTAGTTAAATACTCTTTAAAACGACGCACGCACACAATGAACGAATCACGCTCATACTCTTTTGCTGGCTCAATTGATCAGTTCATGTACAGCGGCCTAAACTCGAATTAGGGAGATCCAACTGGAGTTAACTCGAGTAAAGCGCAACTCGAGTTGACCCATCACTATTTCATACCCCTGGCCATTGCAGTGCATCAGTTCTTTCTTTGAATAAATATTATATATTTATCTATATTGAGTACATAACATATTATTGATAATATTATATATCATGTCGTATTATAATATAAAATAATTGTCTCCAGTAAATACTATACTTTTCTTGTAAAACTCGAAATAAAAAATAAATACGTTTTTTAAATTTCCCATATTTAAGCTTTATTTTCATACTTTATTTTTAATTACAAACAAAATTAAATTTTAAATTCTTTAAGCTTTCTGGGAATATTTTTTATTTGAATGTAGGTATAGTAGTTTTTCAGTAGTAATCGTTATTGCTAAGAAAGTCTTACGCGGTCGTAAAAAAAATTACATTTTAATGCGCGGACAGGTGGGGGCGAGAATCACTCGCGCGGCGTGGACGGTTGAGATGTTAACAAAATTCTGCCCGCCTATTTTTATCTGTCCATGCATAGATTTATAGTATAACTCAATGTGTCATTGGGGCCAGCCGCGCATTATTTGCTCGAGGGAACTAATGCTGTTCAGTTGTACCTTGCTTGATCAATTGCCCCCCGTAGTTTCCTATAGTTTTTTCAGTAATTTTATACCGTTAAATAACTTACTTATACATAATTCGTTTTATTACAGTCGTATATACATCGAAATATCTCTGTCAATACATCAAACAACGCGGACGAAGTCGCGGGTATCAGCTAGTTATAGAATACAAACCGCACGCTCCAACACACAGAAATGAAACAAACACTTGAAATTCAAACAACACCCAACTAAAATACCGTTTTATTACTGCGCTAATCACTACTATCCACTTAAGCTCTACTGGTAAAAGTTAGCATAATGTTCATTAAATAAACTCTTTTTATTATTAGAATTAGAACTGTTTTACAATCTCTATTACCTAGCTTATGCTTTTTAAAAGCTTTTATTTAACTTGCAATATATTGTTTGTTAGGGTCAATTCTTGCAACTTAATTTTAAAGCAGTTATCCTCAATCGATTGAGCTGATATTTTGTATACATTTTTAGTTTAGATGGCAATGAAATTTAATTAGTTTAAAGACATCATTCTAAATTCAATATGGCGGACCGCTGAACATGGCGGACGAGTTTTTTTCTATGCACTCCCTTGATATGTATAGGTATCAAATGAAAGGGTTTGCCGAGAAGAAAACTATAATAAAATGAAGTCACTCTAAATCCAATATGGTGGACACCCAAAGTCGGCGGACTGGTTATTTTCTATGCAATCCCTTGATATGGGTATCAAATGAAAGGGTTTGCTGAGAAAAGTATGAAAATAAAATGAAGTGACTCTAAATCCAATATGGTGGACACCCAAAGTTGGGGGACTAGTTATTTTATGCACTCCCATGATATGGATATCATATTATATCCCATAGTGAATAGCCAGCCTAATAGTAAAAAAAAACAGTTTTAAAAACAAGATTTTATTAAAATGCTCTAAAAAGAAAAACACAAACTAAATTAAATCAAACCCATCAATTTATTACAACACAATTTATGTGATACAAAAGCTTGTCGCGAGATTTACCTGTGTATCTACATAAACAAGAATGCAATAAGTAACTTGATTATGACATAAGTAGGTAATTGTAAGAAAAAAATAATGTTTCTTTTATAAAAAAGGTAAAACTCGCAACAAGCTCATATAAATTATGTAATGTAATATATTGATGGGCTTAATTAAATTTAAAATTTATTTTCTTCTGTTTAGAGCATTGAAATAAAAGCTTGTTTTAGAATGTTTTTACTATTAAATTATTTAATATAAGCCCGTAATAACCCGCAGCTGGATATGGGCTGGATATTATATTATTTTTTCTACTATAGCAAGGATTGCAGTGTGCCTAAGATAATCCACCACCACATTTGATTCCGAAGATATTGTTAGCGGTAACTATTACAAACCAGTGTTTGACGAAAATTCCATCGAGTGGTAAATCGTAGTGTCTTAGTCTAACAAAATCTATACTTACACCCTGTCCTTGAAAACAAATGAATGTAAGGGAATATATTTTTTTATAGAATAAAGGTGACAAACGAACACAGTTCACCAGATGGGAAATTGACACTATGACCCATGAATCTACATCCATCCTCGGTTAAGAATCAAAATGCAGACGTGTTGTCACCCCTGAGGACCAAGGTGGAAAGCCTCGTTTCCAGGTTTCCGTTTGTCTACACTCACCACACGAAACACAGCAACATTGATTGCTTTTACGTGGTAGAGCCACGCTTCAGCTTTATTATGGTTCCAGAATCATCAGTCAATAATATATTAGTGATCGATGTGTAGCATGAATGATTCGGCTCAACCAGGATAGGACCATACTCTCACAGAATACCAGCGTAAAATAGTTAATGAATTCAAAACAGTTTAATGAATTCAAAATTTTAACTAATGACAAATTAATTTTATTTCTCAGAAATAATGTTCCGAAATCAATAAAATAAAGAACTCTTAAGCCGCGTATCGATTATGCGCTCCAATAGGTCGAACATTGGCGCGCATTCCAACCGCGTGTAACGGCGGCTCTACACGTTGGCCAACATACTGGCGAATGTGTTGCCCAACAACGATGGCCATCGTGTAGAGCGGGTGTTTAAGCTACGTTGATATTTATTGGAACGATGGCCCACAAGTTGGTGCGAGATCCGTGTGGTGTCGGTTTTTTGCAAATGATCAAAGGGTTGTGGCAGAGTATTAGCCGTCGCGTCCACACGTTGGGCGCACGTTCAGTTTGCTACGAGCTCCCAGATTGACGCACCTGATTTAAATTTTATATGCACGCATCGTAACTAGTGTCTACGTAATGGCAGTACCAATGACCAATGGAAAAACTTTTCGCTTTATAGAGCCCTACCAAACCGAAAATTGTTTGTGAAACACAAGTCTTTTAAGTCTTTTTTTATAGAATAAGTGTGACAAATGAGCATGCAGTCCACCTGATGGTAAGTGGTTGCTGTGGACCATAGAAATCTACATCTATCTTCGTTTGCGAATTAAAATGCAGATGCTTTGTCAGCCGTGAGGACTAAGATAGAATTCCTCTTTTCCAGTAAAATGGGTCTCCGGTTTTCTACACTCACGATACGAAACAAAGCAGCATTAAGCTGCTATTTTACGCTGCTCTTCTGTGAGAGCGTGGTCCTTCCCCGGTCGAACCGACCCATTCGTGCTACAACTATACTATTAATATAGCTGCAGCATGGCTCTACCACGTATGAAATCTTCTTTTCAAAAAACGTTACCCCCTCACTAGGATTTTCTCCTGTATCGTGGAGGCAGTTTACAAACATAAATTGCATAAGTACAAACATCCAGCCCCAGAGCAATTATTTGCAGGCCATACAAATACTTGTTCCGTGCGAGATTCGAACCCGCGGTCCCCAGCGCAGCAACTCATTGCTAAGGCACTATGCCATGAAGCCGTCAAGAAATAAAATTTTTTTTTCTCCATTTCTTTTTGATCACCCTTTTCTTATACACATTCAAGTTATAGTGGTATGTTGTTAATAAATAAACCGCAGCAGCCGTTAGCGCATCAATAATCATTTTAATAAATTCATCATCACATTGGCCTGAACCAAAGCAAACTGAACGACCTTCCAACGTGTGGACGCGATCACAAATTCTTGGCCAACATATTCGCCACTATATTGGACAACGTGAAGAGCCGCCATAATGGATACCGCCTCGTAACGCGAGCCAAATTGCTCGTTCGAACGCTCAAGCTCGGAGCGGGCCGTTCCAACCGGTGTCGGTTTTTTACCGCGTATCAAAGTAGTTCAGTTTTGGCGCGCGCGCCCGTGGGGACGGTTGTTCTCATCATTCGTGTGTGCGTTGCGTTCAGAGCTATGGATAACCAATGTTGCCGTAAATTAATACAATTATATGGTTCAAAAGATCTGCTGTGGAATACCAAAAATCGTTTTTATCATAAGAAAGCGCTCAGAGAAGATGCATGGAGAGAAATAAGCGCTGAAATGGGAGTATCAGTGCCAGAATTGAAGAAAAAAATGACCGTACTCTTGTCATCGTACAGGAGAGAAATGGAGAATATCTAAAAGCCAAATTACCGGATCTGGTAATTATACACTTATTTTTATAAGTACTAATTCTTAATAAATCAAAAAGGGCAGTTTTATTTAAATAATAATATTTTAAGCAGCATCGAACATCGTTGGCATACCATCTTAATAAATGACCGCCACTTTGAAAAAATCTCGTTTTGGCGGCCAGTGATGAAACATGTATCAATCGATGGAGTAAGTGATCACAAACAACTTACTTTACTTTTTCAATCGACAAATGTTTTGTCACTGGTCACCAAAACCTAAGAGTTTTTATTTTTATTACGTCTTTGGCCAAAACGAGCTTTTTTCAAAATGGCGGTCGGTAGGTATGCCAGGTACCATACAAGAATGTTCGAACCTTTTTAAGTTTAATTTCTGATATATTTTTGTATTTATTATAAATTAAAAAGCATTGCTACACCATGTAAAGTATTACATGGGACTACTTATATTGTAACTAAACTGCATTAATAAAACTAAAGACTCATATCAATTGTTTATTGTTCACAGGTCGAAACAGTATTTATGTATCAAAATGGTTTGGTTTTGACGATTTCAGTTTCATGCAAGATAAGCTTACACCCAATGATACAACTGACACTATGAAGGTACATAAATAACGTCAACAATTTTAATACCTATTTTGCCATGGTATTTCTCTATTAGTAATTAAAATGTTGAGCAAGATGTATACCGTTTTCCTAAGCACCATTTCTACTTCTACGTGGTAAATTAGTAATAGGGAGTAATGATGAAAGTTGACTGTCATTTCTCCCAACTTCCGAGTATTATTTCAGTATCTGTATCCGTGTATAAAGATGCACGATGCATGTAATGGGGACTGGATGTTTTTCTCAATAAAGTTATGTAAATGTATAACAGCTAAAACCACTTTTGTAGTTTTATCAGTTGAAAGTAACATAGGTTACCTTAAAACTCTAAAAACTAAACTTCCAATTCCGAAAACATTTTCCACCACTCTACATTCTCTTGACAGGCGATAGCTAAATATTCTTTCTAGAAACCCTCTCTCTGGGTCTCCTTGTAATGGATTGTGTATTAATTTAGTGTGAACGCTTTGTCTGCCAAAATTAAGTATGGGACTTTACGTGATAGAGCCATGTTGCAGCTATATTAGTAGTATAGTTGTAGCACGAATGGGTCGGCTCGACCGGGGAAGGACCACGTTCTCACAGAATACCAGCCTAAAATAGCAGCATAACACTGCTGTGTTTCGTATGGTGAGTATAGAGAACCGGAGACCATTTTTACTGGAAACGAGGCATTCCATCTTAGTCCTCACGGGTGACAACGTATCTGCATTTTGATTCGTAAACGAGGGTAGAAGTAGATGTCTATGGGCCACAGCAACCACTTACCATCAGGTGGACTGTGTGCTCGTTTGTCACTCTTATTCTATATTTATACCTATATTTGAAGTATCGTTGGTTGAATTTCTCAAACTTTTCTTCGAGTTTTTTGTACAATATAGTGTGTTTAAAGATCACTCCGTCCGAAAGTCTCCAAAACAGTAATCTGCGTCTACGAGTACTTATTTGCACTCGTAGACGCAGATTACTGTTACGATATACGATATTAAAGTGTTTGTAGTTATAATATTCCGCGCCGCTGTTAACAGGTGCTTGCATCATAAAGTGTTTTTTATCCATGGCACCTATAACGTGAAAAAAATTCCATTTATTATCAAATTCTTGAGCAATCTCCAACCATTCTTCCTCTTAGGTGGGATTTGTAATAAATACACTTAAATTAATTATACGCGCGTTTTCTTTTCAGAAATCTGCATCATATAATGATGGCGAATATTCACAAAAAACTTCACAAATAAAAAAGGAAGAATATTTTCCAGAGTGTTCTATTAATACCAACGAAAAAGTTCCAGAAAATCCTGCCAAGAACCCAAAAAAAAGAAAACATCATGAAGAGGAAAATGAAGTGTTGACAGAAGAATTTAAAATTCTTACTGAAACGTCTCAAGCTACTGATCCATATTTCAGTTATGGCCAGCACATAGCAAATGAATTAAGAAAATATGATAACCGCACTTTGATATTCGTCAAACAGGCAATAAATAATATCATTTTTTAAGGCCGATTTAGGCAAGTACGCCTCCAATGTACGCAACACAACAAGATACTCAAAATTCTGCAACACCAAATTTAAGCGTTAATTCGTAGGCCATAATGTCACCTATTGATAATGTACAGTTACTGAAATAAAAAAAGTTTCTTAATGTTGCTATTTTTACTCACCTTCACCTACTCCGCCAAAACCCCGATGGCATCACAAACGTCTGGGCCTACTATAAGCTAAGAGTCCCCCTAACCTTTCGGACACTGTAATAGCTTCTCAAAACTGGGTGTCCATTTTCTTCACCTTTGGATCGGTCAAATTTCTCAAGTGATTAAAGTGCTCTGTTGACATCCTTGTAATTTTTTTATGTGACATCAACAGACTCAAACTGCATATATCTCATGAGTAATTTTTTCTTGTGTATAATAATGTGAATAACTACGAAAGCGTTACAGTGCTCGTACACAGCTAACATCCATGTTGAATGGTCATAAACTGGGACAGCTGCCACGCGCGCCAGGCGCGCATTGTTAAATACTTCGTACATTTGGAACGCATTCCGCGCGATCATTCATGGCGCGCTTGCCAGAGCGCGTAATCGATACACGGCTTTATACTATAACAACGAAGCCGTTATAGCTATAGGGGCTAAGCGCTCGCCGTAAATTTCACAGTACGCCAGTATGTGTCCCGTCGACACCAATAAAATTGTAAACTTGAATTATTAGTACTCATTTGCCACGTAGTCATTGTAGTCGGTGATTAAGAAACGGAATTAATTGTTGTGGAAAACCAACATAAGAAAATTTCACCCTCAAAGGTAGATATGATTAGTAGATATGGATATGGGATGAAGTATTTAATGTAACTATTTAGAGAACATTCCAAATTTTAATTATAGTTCAGTATTTATTTTAGTTCCTTGAAGTTGGCTTTTAAGTTCTATTAAAAGTCAAATTATTAGCCTATTATAAAAAGCCGAATATAAAAACATTTTACAAAAATTTAGTTTAATTATTTTGTGAAATTTGAATTAAAGTAGTTTTTCGATATTTAACTACTTGCCCAAAGCCCACTATTGTAGAACTGCAAGTGTTTGCGGACGAAGTCGCACGTTAAAGCTATTATAACATTAAATGTAAACGTAATACTGCAGTTACTGACCGGCCGGTCACATTTGACCCCCACGAGCTTTAAACATGGTCATGGCCTATGTTCCACATTGAACTAGAATGAGAAATTACTTGGCTTTCCAATGATAATGCAACAGCTATGTTTTTCAATTAGTACTACTGTTCAACAAATGCATTAACCCAGTTACCGTTGTTTGTAAAAGCTCCACTCGTCGACAGTGAAGATTAAATGTGCGCTAGGAACTAACCAATTAGTCTTGTACTGAAAGAGAATGACTAATTAATTTAAGCATTAAATAATTCAATACTATGGATTATCCGCTTATCTTTATCTTTACTTGATGTTTTATAACTCTACATAATTTGCTGATGAAGATGCTTTGTTATCGAGTTGTATAACCCGACTTTGAATCTTATCAATTCATATCACTGCCTACCGAGCTTGACAATTACGGTAAATCCTTTTCACAACGGTTATGGCACATAATGGGACATGTCCACCTGTGTCCATTCGTTACAGCCTTAAAAGTCCACTGCTGAAGATAAGCCTTGTCCATTAGATTGCCTCATTTCGTCATTGTTGCTACGTTTGGCAGACGGGTTGGCAACCGCAAGTTTTTATAATTTTGAGGTGTTATTAAGAAGACGATGCTTTATATCTCATGTTCCAGTTTTCCTCTGTAACCTCGTACAACATCCACGGGGCGATATGGAGTTTTAGATATTGTAACACCGCCACTATATGTATACTGTTCTTATATTCATTCATTTATAGCCACTGCTCAAAAGTCCACTGCTGAAAACAGGCCTCGCCCATCAATATGAGGCAATTATAAATGGATATCGACATAGTTGCCACGCTTGGAAAATTGATTGGCAGCCGTAGTTTTTTTATTATTTTAAGTTGTTATCAGGAATATGCTGCTGCCATCTCTTATTTACCTCTGTTGCCTCATATTAGAGTTGTGGATTTTCTTACACCGCCACTACACTACAATAAGGTAAAACAAAAATCAAAAAGACGTTAATCTGACCACTTTAATATAGATAGTGGGGAAAAGAAATAACCAAGAATACTCCGAATGAAAGTGTCATGATTTCAAAGATAAAGCCTTTCTTATTAAACTTATTAAAATCAATATTAAAGTCAGTGTTTTTAGTAGCATGTACGTGTCTACGTGTATGTATATGGATGTGAAGGAGGCGAGAGCCAAATATAAGTCTGTAGTCTCTGCCCATCCCTCTAGGTGACGGGCGTGAGTTTTATGTTATGTTATGATTTTAAGGCCGCAGCTACAAATTAAGACCGAATACTGATTGTTTTGTCATGGAAATAAGTGACTCTGCTATATACTTTGATATTATATGAATCAGCACATTTAAAATACGTGTCGTAATTTATATGCACACAGATATTTTACCGCCATGTATGTCGGTGGTCCCAAAATTTCCACCAACGGATCCAATTATCGCCTAAGTTTTTTTTGGGTGACATGTGACTCTTCAACATTTTTATTAAATGGTTTCATGATATCATATCACCATTTGTTTATCTTTTAAATGTTGAGAAGTTTTGCACCTGTCAAGTTATACTTATCATAATTCATATGTTATTAAATCCGCGGTTTTTCATCATCTGTAAGATGAGTTCACAGACAGTTTCGCAAATCGCTGTTTTTTATTACTTTCAGTTGTTATCAGGAGATGGTGCTACCTAGTTTCTTTTTCAGATTTTATGTGTTGCCTCTTACAACACCGACGAGATAATATGTAGAGTAGTTTATTGTCTTACGCCACCGCTACAAGGCACCGCACTATGTACTTATGTAAGGACAAATATTAAGGAATTCAAAATGTTTACTTTTAATATTTTAAAATTTATAAATAAATAAATAACAGATCAAATGAAAAATAATATGATGATAAATTCTAACGTCATGCGTCATTTAACTTACGCAATTACTTTATATAGGCAATTGCGCATTTTTATAGAGTATGGGTGACAAACGAGCACGCAGTGTCCCTGATAATAAGTGGATGCTATGGCCCATAGACATCTAGATCTATCGTCAATTAAGAATCAAAATGCAGATGCGTTGTCATCCTTGACGACTAATATGGAATGCCTCATTTCCAGTAACAATGGTCTCCGGTTCTCTATACTCACCATACGGACCACAGTAGTATTAAGCTGCTATTTTACGCTGATATTCTAAGATAGCTTGGTCCTTCCGCGGTCGAGTCAACCCATTCATTCTACAACCATACCTGCAGCGTGGCTGTAGCACTTATATAGTTTATTTCCGTCACTACATGGGCTTTTTGTGATCTTCTAAGAATGTCACTGAATAAATCTTTGTTTATATTTGTTATCTGTGCTTTAATACTAATTATAGAAGTGGAAACGTGTGGAAACAAATTAAAAATATACATATTTTATACTATTTTCCAACAATGTACACTTTGACCATTATTATTTGTCATATACAAATAAACAAAGTGAAAGTCATAAGAATGGTATCATGAACATTATTGTGTATTTTTTACTGTGTTTCAAAGTGAGATTTTAAGATAATAATAACGAAATCTATTTATACTTCAACACAAAAACAGCACCTTTATGTTACTCGTACGAGTGAGCTAAAGACAGTCTTATCTTTGTGGAACATTAGTAGTTATAATTATTAATTACAATAATAGTTTATTTACTTACTACAATACAGTAAATTGAATGAAACATTGAACACATACTTTACGTAATTATATAGGCTAGGTATATTGTGGAAGACTTGCCTAAACCGGGGCTTTCCTAACCTTGTGTCGCGGCTCTATCCCAGGTGTTTCGTGAGGAGTCTGCAGAGTGCAGATTAGCTGTGTCAACGTAACCGAGTCGAATGAGCGCCGCGCGCATTCTGTTCTGTTTCTGTACTGTCATCCCGTAGTAGAGTCGCAGGCGGCCGGCCGGCGCTGCGCCGGCGTCGACCTCCCTCTGTGCGTTTCCCATTCCCTTTCCCCCGCATATTTAATTGGTTTCAGTTTCAGTCAGTCACGCTTTTATTTTGTTTAATTACCCACGAGGAATTTCAATATTGAATAGGGATAATTTTATTCAAAGAAATAGAAAACGAAGTGAAGACTCAGAAGAAAGCAGTAAAGAAACTTCAGAAAAACGGAAGAAGTATAGAAAATATGAGGACTGTTAGCGACGCGCTAAAAAAATTGTTTATCATTTTCATTCTTTGGTTCTTCCATAAGCTTTGTGAAGAATTGGATGCTGAGCATACTTCTTTAATTTATTATTGCAACTCTCATTAGTTGTCCAAAGGCAATATACTCGCACGTGTACACGAACTACGAAATGAGTTTTACACTTATCTACAGACAGAATAAAACAATGATGCGCAAAACTTTATTAATACAGAGTTTATAATGAAATTCGCATATCTCTGTGACATGTTTCAAAAATTAAATGATCTTAATGAGTCCTTGCAAGGAAACAATACTCACATACTGCAACTGGCAGATAAAATCGCTGGGTTTCAGAAAAAGTAGCTCTTATGGAAGCGAAAATTAGAAGAAGATCAAGTACATAATGACTGTTTCCCTGCTTTAAAAGGCATTCTACAAGAAAAATCGATAGAAATCTTTGATCCCTCTTTAAAACTAATGTATACACAGCACTTGTCATCATTAAGTGACCATTTTAAAAACTATTTCCCCGAAAATCTAGAGCAATATGACTGGAAACCCTTTCCAGTCGACCTGACTATCAACACTTTCGACAAAGGAAGAAGAACAATTAATAGAATTGTCCTGTGACTCTAGCCTTAAGCTTCAATACGACAAACACAAATTGCTTGAATTTTGGAGCTGTTTCTTACG